TCATAGCGCATGACGCGACCGTTAGGTTGCCAGTGGGAAGGAAGCATACTTGAAGAGTTCGCTAGGCGTCTAGACGCCCGGTGGGAGTGCCCGGGTACCCTAGGTAATCCATGCACCTTCCAAAGTGGAAGTACCGGCGTCAAGGCATGTCGCTATCTGAACTGGATAGGGGCGCCCCCACTTAGGGGCACGCGGCATAAGTGGCTGGCCCACGCTGAAATCGCCCAACGTTTGCATCCAGCTGCGTTTCTGGTTAGGCTGTTGGGAGTTAGAGATAAACAGTGCGCGCCTGCAGGCTTCGCGACTGCGGGGCGATTGAAGACGAAATGCATGTTTTTGTGGAATGCCCGGCGTACAATAGCACACGGGCAAAGTATGATCGTGACCTCGCGTTTCAAGCGCATGATTATGACCGAGGCCCCACCCCTGGTGCACTAGCCAGGTTCCGCTCGGAAGTCTGGGAGGCCCGGCATGTTGCTTTAAGGCGCTTCATGCTCAATCGGACGAGGGAGGACGATGATGATCCACCATGTAACCTCACTAAAACGATTTACTAACGATGAGAATGGAGGCGTCAGACTGGCACTCTTTACCTCGAAACCTCATAGTCAAACCCTTAGAAACGGAGAAAGGCGAAGGAGGGAGCGACGTCAGCATCAGGAGCAGATACCGGAGGGTCGTACCAGAACTCGACAGGACCAGTTACCCCAGCAGAGCGTCGCTTCCCTATTGCGGCAGCAACATCGAACACCATGATGAAAACCACCTGATGTTGAATGCGGTGCGATGCTCAAGATGCAGTTCAAGTGCAGTGCAACAGATACTCTCACTAGCACGAGCAGGAGGCGGATGAATGAAAACGTAATGTTCGGCACAGCTGGTAGGCAGAAAGCTGTGCAGAGTAAAACTAAATTTGGGGCACATAGCTGATCAGAGAGAAGGGACAAACGGATCCCAAGTGAAGCGCGGACCAGTCAAACACTGAAGCTGCTCGAATCCGGAAGTGCAAAGTGTGCGAGTCGAAGGGATGAGTGCAGAAATTCGTCCTTGTGTTACAAGATTGACGAGGCTCGGCAATTAGAGCAGCAAAGACAGCAGCATCCTGATGCATGAGTTGCACTAATGACAATGTCTGCATAAGCCAAGCAAACTTGCCACTTGCCGAGGCGCTGCTCACACACACACAAACGAAAGTCCTCCCTACCCGCGATATGACCCATTGTGCAAATGCTCTGCAGGAAGTCCCCGCCTCCTCAATCAAGTCATGAACCTATCCGACCAATAAGCGGGTATCGTTCAAATGGCCAACAGCCATGTGAAACACAAAACCCAAATACATGGCAAAAGCAAACAGTTGGCAAGCCTGCCATAATGAAGCCTCCTCTTGTGCCACTGACCAACATCTGACAAACACAGCTTGGCTATTGGCGCGGGCTCCACAATGCGGACTGGAGACCCTGCATAAGAACAGATAAAACGGTTAAATATGCCAATTCCAACGACTAACGGTTGGATTTGAGCGCGAACGGCAGTTTACCCCCCAAGCTTGCGGCCCAGACTTACCGTGCACGATACCGTGCTAAGGCGCCTCACGTACGTCGCAGCCTCGTTAGAGCTGAGGCCGCGCACTCGTGCAACTTTCAAACAGAAAGCCTGCGGAAGTGGAGACCCTGCATAAGAACAGATAAAACGGTTAAATATGCCAATTCCAACGACTAACGGTTGGATTTGAGCGCGAACGGCAGTTTACCCCCCAAGCTTGCGGCCCAGACTTACCGTGCACGATACCGTGCTAAGGCGCCTCACGTACGTCGCAGCCCCGTTAGAGCTGAGGCCGCGCACTCGTGCAACTTTCAAACAGAAAGCCTGCGGAAGTGGAGACCCTGCATAAGAACAGATAAAACGGTTAAATATGCCAATTCCAACGACTAACGGTTGGATTTGAGCGCGAACGGCAGTTTACCCCCCAAGCTTGCGGCCCAGACTTACCGTGCACGATACCGTGCTAAGGCGCCTCACGTACGTCGCAGCCTCGTTAGAGCTGAGGCCGCGCACTCGTGCAACTTTCAAACAGAAAGCCTGCGGAAGTGGAGACCCTGCATAAGAACAGATAAAACGGTTAAATATGCCAATTCCAACGACTAACGGTTGGATTTGAGCGCGAACGGCAGTTTACCCCCCAAGCTTGCGGCCCAGACTTACCGTGCACGATACCGTGCTAAGGCGCCTCACGTACGTCGCAGCCCCGTTAGAGCTGAGGCCGCGCACTCGTGCAACTTTCAAACAGAAAGCCTGCGGAAGTGGAGACCCTGCATAAGAACAGATAAAACGGTTAAATATGCCAATTCCAACGACTAACGGTTGGATTTGAGCGCGAACGGCAGTTTACCCCCCAAGCTTGCGGCCCAGACTTACCGTGCACGATACCGTGCTAAGGCGCCTCACGTACGTCGCAGCCTCGTTAGAGCTGAGGCCGCGCACTCGTGCAACTTTCAAACAGAAAGCCTGCGGAAGTGGAGACCCTGCATAAGAACAGATAAAACGGTTAAATATGCCAATTCCAACGACTAACGGTTGGATTTGAGCGCGAACGGCAGTTTACCCCCCAAGCTTGCGGCCCAGACTTACCGTGCACGATACCGTGCTAAGGCGCCTCACGTACGTCGCAGCCCCGTTAGAGCTGAGGCCGCGCACTCGTGCAACTTTCAAACAGAAAGCCTGCGGAAGTGGAGACCCTGCATAAGAACAGATAAAACGGTTAAATATGCCAATTCCAACGACTAACGGTTGGATTTGAGCGCGAACGGCAGTTTACCCCCCAAGCTTGCGGCCCAGACTTACCGTGCACGATACCGTGCTAAGGCGCCTCACGTACGTCGCAGCCTCGTTAGAGCTGAGGCCGCGCACTCGTGCAACTTTCAAACAGAAAGCCTGCGGAAGTGGACACCCTGCATAAGAACAGATAAAACGGTTAAATATGCCAATTCCAACGACTTACGGATGGATTTGAGCGCGAACGGCAGTTTACCCCCCAAGCTTGCGGCCCAGACTTACCGTGCACGATACCGTGCTAAGGCGCCTCACGTACGTCGCAGCCTCGTTAGAGCTGAGGCCGCGCACTCGTGCAACTTTCAAACAGAAAGCCTGCGGAAGTGGAGACCCTGCATAAGAACAGATAAAACGGTTAAATATGCCAATTCCAACGACTAACGGTTGGATTTGAGCGCGAACGGCAGTTTACCCCCCAAGCTTGCGGCCCAGACTTACCGTGCACGATACCGTGCTAAGGCGCCTCACGTACGTCGCAGCCTCGTTAGAGCTGAGGCCGCGCACTCGTGCAACTTTCAAACAGAAAGCCTGCGGAAGTGGAGACCCTGCATAAGAACAGATAAAACGGTTAAATATGCCAATTCCAACGACTTACGGTTGGATTTGAGCGCGAACGGCAGTTTACCCCCCAAGCTTGCGGCCCAGACTTACCGTGCACGATACCGTGCTAAGGCGCCTCACGTACGTCGCAGCCTCGTGCAAAGCTTCACGCCAGGCAACCGCTAAAATAAAATCGGTCCATTCCAACCCCGAATCGCATCAGGTCACACCCCAAATAGCAACGGTCCATGCAAACCCCCCGAACCACATTGCGCCGGGAACCCCTCAAATCGCATCGTTCCATGCAAACCCACCGAACCACATTATGTCAGGTCACCCCCCAATTAGTATAGGTCCA